AAGGCGACCGGTGCGGCATCGGCTGCGGCTCGTCTACCGTCGCGCCGGCCATCGTATACTTCCCGCCGGGAAAATACCTGATTGCACACCCGTTGCTTCAGTTTTATTTCACCCAGTTCATCGGCGACCCCATTAACGTCCCGGAGCTGATTATGGCCCCGAACTTTGATGGCGATAAAGTGAAAGCCCTGATCACGTCCAACGAGTACGTGTCCGGCCCTGGTGAGATTTGGACCAATCAGAATAATTTCTACCGCCAGGTGCGCAACTTTGTCATCGACCTGACCCAAGCGCCCGCTGATAAAGAGGCCACAGCCATACACTGGCAGGTGGCTCAGGCTACTAGTATCACAAATGTGCATGTTAAAATGAGCACAGCTGCCGGCAATAAGCATCAGGCTATTTGGATGGAAAATGGCTCAGGTGGCTATATGTCTGATTTGGTGTTTGAGGGTGGTAATTACGGTATGTGGGTGGGCAATCAACAGTTCACCTCGCGCAATATTACCATTCGCAATGCCAACACCGCTATTTTCATGAACTGGAACTGGGGTTGGACGTTTAAGGGTATCAAGATCGAGAATTGTAAAACAGGTATGTACATTATTTGATTTTATATACGTATGTATGATTATATATGTACTAATTATAACCGTGAGTTTATATTTAACGAACATCGTTTTGCGAATGTTTGTGTGTTGTATGTGATGATGGTTAAATTATTACTTTTTTTATTTAACGTTAATAAGAGAATTATAAATTATAAAATAAGATTTTTTTGTTTATCAATTTAGCCTAAAATTAATATTGTTAACTTTATATCTATTTAAGATGATTATAAATATATAAAAACAAGCAAATATAATACATTAAATTGTATTACATTTAAAGTTTTAATGGTTGTAAGGTAAATTGATACGATAGGGTTTGACTCCAAAAAACTATTGATATTTATTAATTAATAATCTGTACAATAAGTTGCAATTTAAAGATTACAGTTTTAATATGTTTAGCAAAATGAATGTTGGTAGATAAAGAAATAATTTTTTTACTATCAACACTTGACTTTACTTGCAAGGCACTTAAGATTTATGAATTATATACTACAATAGTTAAAATCATAGTTTTGATTAACTGAAAAATCGTGAAGTGATTAAAATCAATTTTACTATTATAGCACATAGAAAGAAATGACCATGCCAATAATTTTTAATACTTATTATTATTGATATATTTATTATCAATATAATAAACAAAATTTTATTTAGCAAACAGACTTGTATTTGAACTCTTGCCAAATAACAATAGGATTTATTAACTAAGATATAATAAATATTATTAAATTTAAAAATAACAGTTTCTAATTCATAGTTAAAATTAAACATTTTAATAATAAATACATTAAATAAATGTAAATTTTATGCTAAACAACAACAGGAATTGAAATGACTGCCGGGGGTGAAGCGGCACAAGGGGTCGGTTCCCTATTACTGGTGGACTCCGAAATCAAGGACACACCCATCGGTGTACTCACAGTAAACAGCGCTACCAGCAAACCCGCCGGTGCCGGCACACTCGTACTGGACAACGTCAAACTGACCAATGTGCAAAAAGCTGTGGCCCATCCCAACGGCCAAACTGTGTTGGATGGCGGCAACAAGGTGATCGCCTCGTGGGGTCAGGGTCGTTTCTACGACGCCCAGGGTCAGGGCAAATACCAACAAGGTCCGTTGGACGCGCCCCAGAAGCCCAAAGTCCTGTTGGATGCGCAGGGTCGATTCTTTGAGCGCACAAAACCCCTATACCTGGACGTAGCGATGGGTGACTTCATTTCGGTCAAGTCGGAGGGCGCCAAAGGGGACGGCGTTACCGACGATACCGCTGCCATAACCCGCGCCCTGTCCAAATGGGCCGGGTGCAAGGTCATTTATTTCCCGGCCGGCGATTACGTGGTGACCGACACAGTGCTGGTGCCCGCCGGCTCACGACTGATCGGCGAGGTTTGGTCAGTCATTATGGCTACGGGTAACAAGTTTGCTGATGCTAATAACCCCCGGCCCGTGTTTCAAGTGGGCAAACCCGGTGAAAAGGGAATCGCCGAGATTAGCGAGATGCTGTTCTCCACCGAGGGTTCGGTGCCTGGTGCCATTATGCTCCAGATCAATTTGAAAGAGTCGGTACAGGGTGGTGTCGGCATATGGGACACCCATTTCCGTATTGGTGGCGGTAAGGGTACGAGATTGCAGAGCTCTAATTGCGCCAAGGGTGGCCCAATGAGACCCGAGTGCCAAGGTGCGTTTGTGATGTTGCACGTGGCCGAGACCGGTAGCGCGTTGGTCGACAATATGTGGGCCTGGGTGGCCGATCACGATCTGGATGGGCCCACACAGGTGTCCCTATACAACGGTAGAGGTGTTCATATCGAGAGCAAAGAGGGCCCGGTATGGCTGTACGGCACGTCGTCCGAGCACTCGGTGTTCTATCAGTACAATATAGCTAACGCTAAGAACGTGATGATGGGTATGATTCAGACAGAGACCCCCTATTATCAGGCATACCCCGCGGCTCCTGAGCCGTACAAACCTCTGGCCAAGTGGAACGACCCAGATTATAGCCACTGCGAAAAGGGCTCAGTCACCTGTCCCATGGCCTGGGGCTTAAGGATTGTCAACTCAGAGCACGTGTATGTTTATGGCGCCGGGCTGTACAACTTTTTCCAGAACTACGACCAAGGTTGTCTGACCACTGAACACTGTCAGGACAATATGCTGTCCATCGAGAAGTCGCCCAAAAATGTGTTTATCTATAACTTGAATACTAAGGCGTCGGACAATATGGTGACCGTTGACGGCCAGTCCAAAGCCAAACAGGCGGACAATAGGGCCTCGTTTTGCTCAACCATTGCTGGTTTTCTCGAGAAGTAATTGCTGTCTAAATAGCACACTATTGGTTGATCATTAGCTAAACCTAGCTAGTTGTCAATACCTATTACAAACTTGCTAAAATTTGTTTTGTTGCTATATTAATTTTGTCAAAAATGTTGTATTGAAATAATGTTTTGTTTAAATTATAAGCGAATTTAATTATTAAATACGACATAAATTTGTAAATAAATTCAATTTTGATTTACTTATTTTATATTCAAAATTGTCGGTAAGTTTTGATATTAAAATGTGGTAAATTTTGTTAGATTATATTAAATTACGGTCATTTATTTGAAATTTATACTAAAAAAATTATGTTCTCTCTCTCTCTCTCTCTCTCTCTCTCTCTC